TATATAAAATTCACATTAGGGACTGATCTGCATGTTAGGCGTGTGAGTAGGGACTGAAATGCTAGGGCAAACTACGTAGGGACTGATCTGTGTTTCAAGTTTTGGATTAGGGATTTATCTGTAGTTTCCCCTTTATTATATGAAAAGAATTGGGGATTTGAAAAGATAATTTCAGATTTGGGTTTTAAGGAAAAATAAAAGTTTGGAGACCTTCGAGAATGAATCTCGTCGATCAGGACCCACCTTTAGAATAATTGTGAGTTCGGATGTACTCGGGTGTTGGTGATTTCCGGCAGAGGTCGTCTATGGTGGCCGGAGTGTGGAGTTCAGATTTTGGCTCTTCAAAGAATTAAATGAACGGAGGTGTTAACGGTGGAGTATTGATGATAGAAGGTACCGTTACAAACCTCGAGAAGTTAGCTTCCCAGTGATGGTGGTGCTCGGCAGTTTTATTCGTCGGTGGTCGCCGAAATTTGGTGTGAAATTCAGCCTGCTCGCCAGAACTCTAAGGAAAATAAAATCTGCTACGTGTGAACAAGTTATGTCTTACACCGATTCCGTAAAATCTGCTACGTGGAATAAAAAAGATTCCGTAAAAAATCACACCATAAGGGGGTCGTGTAAGACATAAACAAACATGTGGGGGATTTTGGTAATTACCGATAAGTGGGGGTGATTTCCGTAATTTAGCATAAGTTCATGAGGATTTTCGTAATTTATCCTATTAACAACGATTATCGTTATTTTCACGTCTTAATGCTTGCTTATACCCTTATATTATTTTAAATAATTTTAATGTCAGCTTGAAAATATAAGTAAATATTAATTTCTAATATATTTAATATGTGTTTTTTGATGTTTCAGGTACCACACATAAGGAATTTGATATAAAAGTTGCGAGATTGAATAGAATTTTTTTGATACAAAATAATAGATAATTGCAAAAACATTGATCCAAAATCATAATTAGGATTGTGATTAGTATTAGCATTAGAATTATGATTATAATTAATACTCTTTGAATTAGTACCTATATAATCTATATAATATATAAAAGTTGAATTCCACACCTAATTGATTGACATTTGTCAATTTCAATTGGTGACATGTATTCAATTGCACCACACGTGGCAAATTGATTGGTGAAAATAAATCATCAAAAAACATGTCACCATTTTCCAAATTAAAAAGATATTTAATTATTTTATTATATATTTATATCATACCATTTATAAAATGCTCTAAATATATCAACTTTCTTGGAAACTCTAAATAGTTTTATTTTTTAATTTAATTTTAATAGTAATTAATTTAATTTAAATTTATTTAAATTCAATTTAAAATATTCACTTATTAAAATTGTATGATTGATGGTGTTACGAAAGTTTTGTATTTTAATTCATAAACTTGAATTTAATTATATAAAAAAAATATTGCAGAATAAATCATTTGATATTATACATTTTACATGAACATGACCAGAGAATATGTTTATCTTTTTTACGAATTTAATTTTATATTCGTAATCACCAAAATTTCCCTAATGTTTGTTTTCGTCTTACATCGACCCCCTTACGGTATGATTTTTCACGGATTTTTTTTTATTACGTGGAATATTCCCCGAAAAATGCAGATTCTACCATGCACACGACATTTGTTTATGGTACTTTTTAAAAACAAAAATTACCCTGAGGGGGACTTTACACGAAATATTTATTCTTCTTAAATAACATTTTCACAACTTTTTAGTATTACTATTACCTCCCCTAAGGGTAATTTGTGTATTTAAAAAGTAAGATAAAAGAAATGTCATGTCTGCAAGGGTAGAATCCACAATTTTTGGGATATTACGTGGAATAAAAAAGATTCCGTAAAAAATCACACCATAAGGGAGTCGTGTAAGACATAAACAAACATCTGGGGGATTTTCGTAATTACTGATAAGTGGCGGTGATTTCCGTAATTTAGTCTAAGTTCATGAGGATTTTCGTAATTTATCCTATTAACAACGATTATCGTCATTTTCACGTCTTAACGTTTGCTTATACCCTTATATTATTTTAAATAATTTTAATGTCAGTTTGATAATATAATCTATATAATATATAAAAGTTGAATTACACACCTAATTGATTGACATTTGTCAATTTCAATTGGTGACATGTATTCAATTGCATCCCACGTGGCAAATTGATTGGTGAAAATAAATCATCAAAAAACATGTCACCATTTTCCAAATTAAAAAGATATTTAATTATTTTATTATATATTTATATCATACCATTTATAAAATGCTCTAAATATATCAACTTTCTTGGAAACTCTAAATAGTTTTATTTTTTAATTTAATTTTAATAGTAATTAATTTAATTTAAATTCATTTAAATTCAATTTAAAATCTTCACTTATCAGTATCAGTATCAGTTTCAGTTTCAATATTCGTATCCGTATCAGTATCAGTATTAGCATCAGTATTAGCATCAGTATCAGTATCAACATTTGTATCAATTTCAGTATCAGTATTAGTATCAATATCAATATCAATATTAGTATCAGTATTAGTATGAGTATCAGTATGACTGTGGGTATCAGTATGAGTATGAGTATCAATATTAGTATGAGTATCAATATTAGTATGAGTATCAGTATGAGTATCAATATTAGTATTAGTATTACTATGAGTATCAGTATGAGTATCGGTATTAGTATCAGTATCAGAATTATTATTGTTATTAGTATCAGTATTAGTCTTAATATTAGTATTAGTATTACTATTAGTATCAATATCACTATTCGTATCACTATAAGTATCAGTATTATTATTAGTATTAGTATCAGTAATAGTCTTATTCTTAGTATTAGTATTAGTATTAGTATGAGTATAAATATAACTATCATTATCAATGTAAGTATCAATATTATTATTAGTATTAGTATCAATATTATTCTTATTCTTAGGATTAGTATTATTATCAATATCAATATTAGTATTAGTATTAGTTTTATTATTAGTATTAGTATTAATATTGGTACGAATATGTGTATTAGTATTAGTATCAGTATTATTATTAGTATCAGTATTAGTATTAGTATTTGTATTAGTATCAGTATTAATATTAGTATTAGTATTAGTATTATTATTAATATTAGTATTAATATTAATATTAGTATTAATACCAATATTAGTACCAATATTAGTATTAGAATCACTATTAGTATTAACATTAGTATTAGTATTAACATTAGTATTAGTATTAGTATTAGTATTAGTATTAGTATTAGTATTAGTATTAGTATTAGTATTAGTATTAGTATTAGTATTAGTATTAGTATTAATATTAGTATTAGTATTAGTATTAGTATTAGTATCAGTATTAGTATGAATACCAGTATTAATCGAATTAGTATCACTATTGGTAACAATATTGGTATTAGTATTGGTATCAACGTTAGTATCAGTACTGGTAGTGGCGTATACATCATATCTCTTTTGCAATATTTATAAGTTTTATTGTTGTTTGAGTAATGTGCATCACTAATTGAACGCCATTAGTGATAAACTTGCAGCTTATTTGAATATATATTGTGTTACTTCTCTGTTACCGTGTTTGTTGTTACCTTAGTTATTTTGCAGAAGACTCACATGGTGTAGTAGATTGCAATCCAAGAAATAGAGTTATACCATATGTTTTAAATGATTTCACTTAATCTTGATATCGTGTTTTGCGCGCCTCATGTTTTCTTATTTGTAATATTTAACTTAATTTCATATGTTACAACTCTAAATTAAGAGATAAAGTTTATGTTTTTTATTTCCTTCCATAAGTTTATTTTTCTCATTTTGAAACTCACCTCCGTGCAACGCACGGGTGAAATACTAGTTTTATTGTGCTTGAGAATCCTCCCACAATCACTCCATTTTGTCAATTGTGTGCTCTTCCCTTTAAAATCAACAAATTTATAGGAATGGAAAAGTTGTCTCTTTTTTGGGCTCATCTTCCAAATACATTACTATGTGCACGACAACTTATAGAATACAGTTCTTCCTCTATCAAGATCGATATGATTTGTATAATCCACTTAAAGTTTGTTTTGTTTGATGGTATCTATTTGTTTCATCTGCAGAATACTTACAGAGACTGCGAAGCAATCTCAAGGTGGTTGGGGTGGTTCAGGAGATTGGAGTGAAATTGAGGTATGCTTTATTTATTAGCTGACAGCTATCCTCGAAATGGATTATCTTTTTGTTTTGTTTTTTTTCAGTTTGTTGTGTATGCTTCATGTTTTCTCGTTTTATTTAATTTACTCCGCCAAAGTATTTGAAGTCATTAGTTTACTCTTGGTGCATGTATTTTTTAATATACGGTCTTTTTACTTTTAAGGCCTCATTGAAGAAAGAAATTGACTATGTACAGTTTTTGAATGTCAAAGATATGGGTTAGTTCTCAAGCGTAAACAAATTGTTCGATTAACAAATGCATATTTTACAGGGAGCATGGGTATTGAGGCCAAAAAACTCCAAGTCAACAGCGATCGTGCATTTTATTGGTGGGGGCTGCCCCACAGCTTACTTACCGATTATTCCTAGAACGCCTTGCTGATAAGTGAGTTGTTTTACTGACAAAATAGTTTGAACCTTAAATCCAATCATCACTTACATGTGCAAACACCATCACACTATTGTCTGCCATGAAGTATATCACGACGTGCCTTTCTGAAATAATTTAATTTACGGGTGTAACCTAGTTTTTAATTTGATACTGTGTGTAACTTGCTTGGTCTGCACTTTGTGGCGCAGGGGTATATTAGTAATTGCCACACCTTATGCGAGTGGTTTTGATCACTTCCTCATTGCAGTTTAAATTCGAGAGGTGTCTTAGGTATCTCCAAGAAACAGTAAGTTTCATTTGAAGCATGTAGAATTAGCTGTATACGGTTTATGTATTCTCGATCTGCTTTGTTGCACAGGTTGAAGATATTCCTACTTTTGGCATTGGTCATTCATCTTCTGATAGGTTGATGTATCATTTGTATTTTATTTTTCTCACAAAATTTGTGTACAAAAATTAACATCAATTGACAACTTATTGTCTAATTACCAGGCTCGAGATATGCTGTGCAAAGAAATGGAAATATATTAATGGCATTTAATAACAAGGTACTGCATGATTGAGAAACTACACGAGTATTAGTCTTCAACTGTTCACATAATTCAAATTTAATTTAGAGTATTTGTCGAAAACTGACATCTTATTGTTAATTTTACATTCAGGAAGCAAGCCTAGCTATTCCTTTGTTTTCACCTGTCCTTGTGCCAATGGCCCAAAGTATTGGACCATTTTTATCGCAAATAGCATCATCACCAACTATTCAACTTACATCATCTTTTCTTTGAATTTTAATGTTGTCATTGTATGTTGCTAATGATTCTTAGTTTCCATTTATCACAAGTTGAATTAAGTCCTTTTGAAGCTCTCATAATTCTGTCTAACTAATTCATGGATGCCATCAAATTGCATCTGCACTCAATATGTCTATCCTGCTATCACCAAAACCCTAATATTATTTTTATAACTTTAGTTTAAAAAACAACAATAGGATATATTCAGAATCATCCAGATAATTGTGTGTACTAAATAATATGTTAACAGGTAATGTAAGGAAACATGAAGAGTAGCAAATAATAATCCGCAAGGGCTGTTGTTGTATGCATCGTATTAAGGTCCAAAGGCCAAACAATGGCCTTAGGAAACCCTTCTTATATCCAAATGAATTTAGTTATTTATTGAACGAATGAATGCATTTTGAGCTATCTTGATGTTAAATCATGAATTCAGAAAGAAAAAAAAAATGAAATATTTGAATGGAAGCAGAACAAAACTAGCATGAACCTTGAGAAAGTTTTTTCTTTTGTATGTGAGTAGTTAACAGATGAAACAAGCTTTGCTCCCCTTCTTCAACCCCGAATTTGAATAATAGTACTACATGGCAACTTTCAGACTTTAGAGGATGATTACCTAGTTCTTGCAGTATGTTGTTTATTTATAAAATTTTAATGTAGTTCGAACACGAGTTGAGTATAGCATATCTTACCCTTCATGTTGCATTTTGTTTTACTCAAAGATTGTGTTAGTTTTGCGTGCTATTGCTTCATATAGATCAGGACTATTGAGCGATAATATTTTTGATGTTACGAGTTGATAATTGCAGGCTGAGATGACTAGGAAGCAGTTTGAGAACCTTAGCCCTTCCATTTTGAAACAAGTTCTTCCTCTGGTTGAGCATCTTTCTCCCTTGTACATGGACTTGGCTAAAGGCAGGGACGAATTTTCTCCTAGGCCCGAAGAAACCCAACGATTGGTAATATAGATTTTTTTTTCTTTTGCACATCTAGAAACAAATTTAATGATGAATAGAGAAATCGATGATATTTATTTCGACATGATTTTGTTTGGCAGATCAGGTCTTATTACGGCATATCAAGGAATTTGTTAATAAAATTCAAAGATGATACGATTGATGAAACTTCCCGACTAGCTCAGGTTCTTAGCTCAGAATCTGCTATTAGTTCAATGCTGGATATGTCCATTCGTTCGTTACCAGGGGATCACGGTCTGCCTCTACAACAGGTATTTTAAGTTGATTTAAGTTTCATTCAAACATTTGAGGATGTTTTTACTTACAGTGTGTGCATGTAATTTGTTGTTTTACGCAACAACAAAATTTCATCCTAGTCAATGTGTTGAAAGAAGAATGACATGTTTAATAAAAAAATAAAAAAATCAGGTAATGCCAGATGTACCCCCAGGAATGGCAGATGCAGTAAATCGTGGAGGAGAATTATTGGCAACATTGTCTGCAGGTACACCATGGGAGTCGGTTGCCAAAGAAGTGGGCAGTACATTCACTACAGATTCACGAATTTTCCGCTCTGAAAATACAAAGGACATTGATCTTCTTGTCGACACGATTGCAAGTTGGATAGCCTCCAACGCTAGTGCAAGGCTTTTAAGGTCTTAAAACTAGAATAGAAGCAGCAATGTTAATGCATACAGAAAAATGTAGTCGTCTGATTCTTATCTATGGTGCCTGTATATGGTGTACCTATGTAATATATATGATGACTCTTTGGTATGTAATAAACTCAGTCCAGGTTCACAAAGAAGCACAAAATATATAAAGAAGAAAAACAACTTTTTAATCAAAACAGTAAATTCTTCCAAGTTCTTGCGTATTGATAAAGCGACTGGAAATCAGGTAATGGCTGGTGGATTCTTCACTGATAAGCAAACTTAAATTGGGCTCATTTTTGGTCCTATGAAGTTGGTTTATGGTCTCGATCAAGTGCTCTTATGTTCAAAGTAAGTGAATGGGCACAACGATGAAGTCGGTTTATGGTCTCGATCAAGTGCTCTTATGTTCAAAGTAAGTGAATGGGCACAACGATGAAGTTGGTTTATGGTTATGATCGACGAACAAGGATATCATCTATCCCTATTTCCCAAGGGAGGTTTACTGCCTTACTCCAACTCATAGATACTCTTAAAACACAAGAAGTTGTTGAAGAGAATCATTGGCTTGCTAATAATGTACTCTGGGATGTAACAACGGCTAATTTTGCATTTACATCGGCTAAGACCTCCTCCTGAACCACCACCATGAAAAAATGGTACCCTAATTGTAGCTAATAACAAGTGTTAAGCTCTATATTTGAAAAAAGAAAACACAATTCAGAATAGTTATTGTAGATCTTAGGTTAATTTTCTCTTGTTTTTAAGCTCATTTTTCCCCTTTTTCCTTTTAATACGTTTCAATCGGTTAACGGTTTCTAAGAAATGGAATACTACCAATATTGTGAATCCTCTCCAATTTCATAACAAAAGGATTGTTTTGGCTGGCTTTGCCAAGAATCCAAGCAGAGATTATTCTTATTTCTGCGTTTGGATTGTTAAGTTCCCTTATCACTGCAGTGAGCCCTCCAAGTTTGTGCAAATCTGGACAATACAACAACAATCATATATATATATATATATATATATATATATATATATATATATATATAACATTCTTTTACTGCTGAAAAAATATCATAACAAAACAAGTGAAAACATTTGCTATTATTCACTCTGTAGCATCTGAACACCATCAAAAGATGAACTTATATAACATACATGTTTTTCTTTATTATAAACCAGCTTTTTAACACTCCCTCTGGCCCAAACTCTTTTGCTGCTATTTTCTTATAAACATAAAAGATAAAGAATCTAATTCCTCAATAAAACCTTATTCCCCCAGATTTTCCATCCACATTCAAGTATTGATGCAACACCACTAATTTCCCGACCACTATTTTCAGTGTAACAAGACTAACTCCCAACCACTATTTTTTTCCTTAACTCTCACCTAAAGCTACTTGCCATAGCAAATAGGATAAATAACTTTAGAATGGAAGGAGTACATTCTTCCGATAAACAAACTTTCAGCAATAAATTTATTGATTTTCATCAAGCAAGCACATCTTCGATAGGTTCAAATAATATTCCAAAGACTAACAACGAAAGTTTTATCAAACTAAGAAATTGACAAAATTTTCAAGTTGTTTGATGGTATTTGTAGTGGAAAGGGTTCAAATAATAAATAATTGCCTGACGGCTGTAACTTACACATACCATTTGCATTTTCTATCGGCTCAACAAGTACAAGGAGCTCCTGTAACGCACGACGGCGGTCCTCTAAAGATAGAGATAAATTATTCAAATCATTTATTGCAACTATCATCAATTTTGCATCTGATGGCATCTGTAATTTCTCCAGTTCCTATGTCAGCATACAAAACGCAGAGTAAAGAAACAGGACAACATGAGTTTTCTTATATAATGAAACTAACACAAGAGAAACTCAATACGGCCCTACTTGAAGAAATGACAAAGAAACAGTTTATTTATTTAAGTTGAATGGATATTTATACAATAAAACATAAATTAGAAATAGAATTAATTGGGGAAACTAAGAACAGCTCACCTTGATTTCCATCTGACGTTGCTTCAGCTCTTCAGGAGAAAGGCGCTGCACGTTTAATGTAGTTTCTTTTAACTTTGCTGGATCTGAATGACCTACATCAATCAACGATAATACAAACGAAACCGAATTATAGTATAGACTAAAAGAATGCTTGTTTCACATCTCCGATACGTTAAATTTCGAACTTAGTTATTTGGCAACTTTAACTGGAACCACAGTAATTAATTATTCACACATGATTTAATTATTCTTGGATAAATTCAAAATAAGCCATTCATTCTTATATATGTATTAGGTAACAATTATTGAATCTCAAGAAATAGAAAAAAAGAAAGTCAATAACCAGAAACATATTGATGATGAGTTCAATGGAGAACCTCAACCTAGTACTATCAATTTTAAATAGATATAATATTTCCAGAACGAATTTCACAAATAAATAACGTATGAAAGCAGGCAGCAGTAATTGAATGAATTGACTCATTGAGAAGAGAGAGAGAGAGAGAGAGAGAGAGAGAGAGAGAGAGAGAGAGAGATGTGTAAGAAAAAAAAAACAAAAAAAGAAGTACCAATTGCCCACTGTAACATTCCGTCCGCCGTCCAAATGGGTATCATCATCATCCTCCTCCACAAGCAAATAAGACTCATTTCATCGGTCTGCGCAGGAAAACCCCATCGCCACTAAAACAACCGAAGTTGAGACTGCAATACAACCCCTTCGCCCCCCCCCCATCTTTGATTATCCCTTTTTTTTTCTTCAAATTACTTTTTATTTATTTTACACCTGCTCTAAATCCTATCAATGTAAATTAGAGCTAATTGCACATAAGCCCCTGTGTAATTTCGAATATTAAAATGGGCATTTGACTAACATAAAATTACTAAATTAACCTGATGAATTCATCTGCCATAAACAAAATTCAAAGAGAAAAAAAAAAATATGTAATGTTCTTCTTCCCCGTCAAAACCCCAACCACAACTCCCAAACCCACCGCCGTCGTCGGATTCCCCGAATCTCCGTCATTTCGTCCTCCGACCTCATCACCGCCTCCGCCATCAGCCGACGACCCGCCACCAGCCAAAGACCACCCTCAATCAGTCCTGCCCCTTTCCGGCACTCGCGATCTAGGTGAGAAGCTTGCAATGGTGAGTCGAAGGACGAGAGATAAATGGTTGCAATGGTTGAAGAGAGGAAGTAATTTGCAACAAAGACTGCCATTTTTGGTGAGAGTGTGTGTGTGTGTGTTTTGTGTTTTTTTTTTTTTTACGATTTCTCCATTTCACAAACCAAATCATGGACATCCAAATTATTGTCTCAATTTTGAAATGGTGTGACTTTTAATATTGTTGGATGGTGAGGAAGAGGGCCTTTCTGAAAATATTAGGGACTGAATTAAAAAATATGAAAACTTCATTTTGGGCTTGTAGTTTTAGGGTGAAATTGTAATTTTTCGGAATATACGTTTAAAGGGTATTTTTGTCTTTTCAATTCCAAAAACAGACGCCCAATCGCACATCACGTCGAGCTCAAAGGGTCTGTATTGCCTTTGACTAATTTTCACAGGGGGTTTGTGCTAATTTATTTAACATGAGGGGTTTTTCAGCAATTCGAGATTACACAGGGGTGGTAAATCACCTTAAACCTTGGAGGTGCCAACTCAAATGCCCTTAATTCCACTTTGCACCCTTCAAATTTTTTTTTTATTCGCAGCCCCACAAAATATTAATAGTACTTTCCACCCTCAAAAGGGAATAAATCATTAACATTGCACCCCAATTATAAATTTAAGGTTAATGAGTATAATTTCATAGTATTTACCAAATAAAAAACTTCTTCTGTGTTGTAAAATATAATTACAATAATAGAATTTTCATCAAACAATTACAAAATTATTGGAATTGGTAAAAAAGGTGTTTTTTTTTTGGGTATTAAAGTATATTTTTATGCAATATTGTGAAAACATATCGAAAAACTTTCGTATGAAGTATTTATTGAGCCTATATCATCTTTATAATAGTATTTATTTTTGTTCTCGAAATGTTAAGTTAAGTTGTTTATTTTCATGCACCGTTAAATTATTTTCTTATTATATGACTCAAAAAATAAATTTTGTTACACGAAAATAACATCCAAATTTTTTGTTTATCAAAGACCTAATACAAATCAAATAATTTATTGAGGAAATTTTAATAAAATACTAATTGGCGTGCAATGTGAATGATTTATAATTTTTTAAGTGTGCAATCGGTTATAAATTTGTTTTTTTCTTTCAGGAACTCAAAGTGCCAAAATGATATGTTAGAGGATGCATATTGAAATTAAGGCAACTGAAATGATAATATTTGCAACCCAAAGAATCCTACACTTTGAGGAACATGAAACTTTTTACGGCCAGACCAATCTCCAATCTCGAGATCGATCGACGAAGAAATGGTAAGTTTTGCTCTAATTACTTTTTGATAAACCATCTCTAACAGAATTAGCCGAATATTTTATGTGTTGATGCTTAATTAATTATTATTTTTCTTCCATGGTGATTTCTTTAAATGGTCATTTGGCTTACTCAATCTCCAAAACATAGCCAAGGTCGTTATAAAGTATTTGATAGTTCAATCGTAGGATATGGGGATCCATGCTAGCATACACTAGAATGTGGATGAATTGTTGTTTTGGTATATAATATATCCTATAATTTATCCTTAACTAAGTTTGTAATTTGTATTAGGTGTGTCATTATATAGTTGTTGATTAATTGGTATTGTTTGCTAATTTATTTAATTTGTGCAGAAAAGACTATACACAGGAGATCTAAATTAAACATTAGAAAACTTTTTGTTACAATCTAATTTATGTCCTTTTATAATTATTTTTAATAATTTGTTTTACATTTTAGGACAAATACAGTTAGGTGCACTTTTATTGGAAGCATTTGCTGAATAAATGGATGCATATCTCTCGCCAACGATGATCAAACTGGACCTATGGTGGCCATTCTTCAATTTTGCAGATTAAGACTTAGGTATGTGATATTTAACGCTAATTCATATTTTATACTGTAGTTTTTGTACATTTTCATTATTTCACCCTGAAATCAAAATTAGAAACCACGAGTATACCAAATGATCTATATGGAGCCTTAACTACAAAGAGAAGTAAAAAAAATATTCGTTAAAATTTTCATTGAAAAAACTTAACTATAAAAACTAATCTTATATTTTAATCTATGAACTCGCGGGCTTGCTGTGAGTGAAAATTCCACATCAGTTAATCAACTATTGGTCGTTCGTTGACTTGGTCGAATGATCCACTTCTTATCCATATTTTTCATTGGTCAAGGTTTTTGTTGCTTATGTTACTAGGTGATGGGGCTTAAGAAACGCATTGAAGATGTACAAGGGTGGTTAGCAATTGTTGATTCATAATGATAAAGTATTAAATATGAAACTCTTTATCTGAAAACAAGTTCTCCAAACGGGTGAAATTTTTGAAGTGGTGATTGATTATCTTTGGTGTACGAGAAAAGTAATAGGTACTCATGTTGAATCTCTTGAATTTTATATTACCGATGAGTGGGGAATATGTACTTGCTCAAATAAAAAAAAAAATTAGTTTGCTTTTATTTCAGTTTATGTGACGTTACAAGGATCACCATGGATCGCATTGCCTGCTTCGCTTTTTTTATTTGCTTTGAGCTATTAATTAGGTTGGGCTGCTCCAACACTTTAAGAAATAATTCTGTTTTTTTACAATAAATTTTTGAATCTTTTTTTTTTCTTCGTTAGTCTTTTCTTAAGGCAGCTGGTGAGGAAATAAAATTAATTTAGATGTCAGCCTGCTACTTCTATACTACAAAAGCTGAGACAACTTTATTTAGCTTTTTTATCTCACTTGATTATGTGTATTTTGGAAATCGACTTCACTTACTTTACTTTCTCTGCACCCGGTTACCATATTTGTTTTGCAATATCCTTTTGAATTTCACTTTCTCTAATATTTCACAAGTCCCTTAGCCCTCGATACAATTCGATTGACCATTATTCACATTAGTAGAGCTTTAAATACTATTGCTCTAGGATAAATAATATCGATTCCTTATAGTTGACTCTACATGATTTGTGTAGCCATTTATATTAGTAGAGCTAATAATTTCATGTTAGAATCCAATTCTTAGAATTTAATGATGTGAGTGACGTTGTTGCCGGAAAAAATTGGTGTGAATTTAGAGCATCTCCGACCGGTCTCACCATTTTTTCACCAAATCCCATTTATGTTGGTGAAAAAATGGGTTCATCTCCCACCGGTACCACACCATTTTACTCTTCCTCATTTTTTTGGGGAAAAATGGTGTTTTTGGTCTCCAATGTGTTTCACCAAAATTTAGACCAAATATTAAAATAATAATATTTCACTATTTCACCACTTATAGGAAATAGGATTTGGTTTGCTCTCCCATGGCATCTCACCATATATGCCCAAAAAATATAAATCTAATGTTACCAATATATTTCACCATTTCACCACTTATTATATTTAATTAATAGCAATTAATGTATTAGTTAGGTAAAGAAATGAAGTAATAAACATTGATACCAACAAAATATACAAATTAATTAAAAATAAGCATATTTATATTTTTAGAATTAATGTTTTGTTAATAATAACAAATGTATTTATATTTTAAAAACTAATTTAATAATTAATACCAATGTATTAACGATAAATATGCTAATAAGTTGGTAATCGGGTGCAATTACTTAAAATCGTTATTTTATATGGTACTTAATAAAATTGTGTTAGTTACGGCAAATCCTATTTTCACCTCTATATTTGGTAGGAAAAATAGGATTTGGTGGAAAAAATAGGAAAATGGTGGACCGGTGGGAGATGAAAATTCCTTCACGAAAAAATTTGGTGGAAAAATAAGATTTGAGTATTTGGTGATATGGGGTTGACCACGGTGGGAGGCTAAAACCAATTCTTTATAACTTTAGGTGTAATGGTGATATAGGAATTTTGGGTGGAAGCTAAAAACACTTAAATTAGATGAAAAAATGGCGTTATGGCGTCCGGTCGGAGATGCACTTACAACATTTACCTCGAACAACTTCCAATCGGGCATTTTCTCATCCTTTTGAACAGACAACTCTCAATGCATACACATAAGTGTCAACCACTCGCATGAATATTCCAAACTAATATATAATTTCTAATTTCTAACTTCTAAGTATGATTGGATACATATAACTAGGGATGGCAAAAAAAAACACGATCCGCTAGCTAACCGTGAGTATTCGCTCCGTTTAAAACCCGCTACCAAAACCATTAGGGTTTGGTAATAGTTTTGGTAAAAGAAATGCGAACCTCACAGTTTTGGTATGGTTCTCGTTTTACCCCTACGGTTATGGCTATCCGACCAAATATATATACACACACACACACACACACACACACACACACACACACACACACACACACACACACACACACACACACACACACACGAGGTGAGGAGCACCGCGCAATACGTGGTGCCGGTGCCCTGTTTACATATTTGCAAAATGTGTTTTATTTATGATGGCGTGAATTTGAAGGGGTTGATGATACGCTACATGTGACGCGTCAAAGTTGCCCCCATATCGTGATCAATATTAGATGACTGAATATAAGGGTAACATTTATTAAAACAAAGCATTGTATACGGTGAGAAGGGTTATGAAATAAGAGATAATATTGATATGTAAAAAGGTAAATGACCAAAAGTTATATTTATTGATGATAAAAAACTAATGTATACAAGCTAGTATTCTATGATATGTAAAGGATAAAATGTTCGTACATGATTATTGTTGGACTCATTGTTGCGATGGATGATACTGATTAGGAAAAGGAGAATGCGGTTCTAGATTGGTACACAATGGTATGCGGTGAAGATTTGTTACGGCATATTGCTTGTATATAGTATTCGGAAAAAAAAAAAGTCAACGCCGGAGACCGGCGGTCAACGGCGGTGATGGACGAATTTGTCCATAAAAATGTATTTTGGGTCAAAATTGAATAATTTGTGAAATTTGTGGTCAAATTGAGGTTAAATTAAATTAAAGATGAAATTAGAGCATATTAAAGTATGAGGGACTATTTTAGTCTTTTACAAAAATCTGGATATTATTTGTAAATAAATTTTTTATATGAATCTCTTTATAAATAAGTACCCATTGATGGGCTTATTTGTAAAGACTCCTTTATTAAACAGCAACAATTGATCCAAATAAAAGGTGGTGTAGAAAATTGGATTGTAATTTGTAATAAAAAATAAAATGAGAATCCAAATTGAAATAGGATTAATGGGATACGTTACTTACTTAAGGGGTCATACTTCTTCTTGGATAGGAATACATACAAGAGAGTCCATGTTATAAATAAACGATTTCTTTTTTCTTTTTCGAATTCATGTTAGAAGCGATTGACATACAAGAGGAAAAAGAGGAGTTTTTGCTTCCTCAAGATTTTACTTCACCATAAACTAATTACTCGAAGAAATAAAATTATTTTTTCCAACAGAGAGAGCAAACGAGAAGGAGCAACCGAGTCCAGATATATAATAAGAGAAGAAAATTACAGGTACGTACAGGTATATATTTATATATTCAAATTATGGTTAGTGGGAATCCTCATCTTGCTTTTCTTATTGTTTACCCCCAAAACAATAGAATTCACTGCTTTCCTGAAATCTTTATGTGGATTTTTGGCGTTTGTGTGTGAAGGTGCATAAAAATGGCATACACGTTGTGTTAGGTATTAATATTAATAATATTTATGATAATATTAATCATTAATCATATAATAATAATAATAAAAATAAAATATTGTAATTGTTGTCATTCAAAGTGGACTTTTTTATTTTTGCCGTACAATGTAGAGTCATAACTCATAAGAATAAAATAACAAATTTAATATAATATTGCCCTCAGAACTGAATAAAACATGTAAAGGAATAAAAATAAAATAGAAGAGGGGCGTTTGTGGTTTGTGAATACTATCTCACTACCAATTACCGCCGCCAACCACGTTCTTCTCTCTGTACAATTTTTTTTTCTTTTCTTTTTTCTCTTTCTTTCTTTCTCAAATGCCCCCCCCACCACGATATCTAATAACCCGTATTAATCATCTACGAGAGCTCCTTCAACAATACAAACATCAAAGAGAGGTATAAAGATTTTCAATTTCTTCTCAGTTTTTTTCTTTCTTGTGTTTGCACAGACCGGTTTTCACTGGTTTTCTTCGGTTCAACCGGGATTTCCTTGGTTCTCGGACCACTGACCCGGGTTGTATGACTTTCCGGGTATTGAAGTTCAACCGGACCGGACTACTTGCCGGTTCGAGGTTGAACCGGTCGGACCGGTCGGTCCGGTTCGGTTTTCAAAACATTGGTGGTAATTAGTTAGGCAAAAGTTGCATATAACAAGATGTAACAAGATGCGTGCGGGCGAATTGGTCCCGAGTAGGCATGGAGGAAACGCATATCATGTGTTTTTGGCATTTATTTAGGTCTTTTTAGAACAAAGGTGTTGCTTCAAATCACGTCAATATATATATATATATATATATATATATATATATATATATATATATATATATATATATATATATATTGTTTCGTATTTGTAACTGAATTTAAACTTTTTATAAAAGTTATAAATTTGACGAATTATAATTTGTAAAATGAATTAATGGTCCGGGGTATGCCATTATTAATTTAAAAAATATTAAAATCAAATCTCTTCCGCGACGAGTCAAATCACCACCAAAGTTCTCTATCGTGGGACATATAGTAATAGATTTTATAAATAGTGAGTAATGAAAATAAAATCATAATTAATAAATGAATTATAATGTTGATGGGAGGCGAGAAAGTAGGGCATTATTTGAACAATATTTTGAAGATAATATATATTTATAGGGGTACGTGGCAGATTATGGATAAAACTTAGAAGACAAACACCGGCCTTGTTATAGTTTGTTTCATTTATATGGCAATTTCAGAAATATCCGCAAACTAGATCAAAAGATATTCGGTAACGTATCCCTTTATTTGCAAAATAAATTGCAGAGAGAGAGAGAGAGAGAGAGAGAGAGAGAGAGAGAGAGAGGGAGGAGAGAGAGGATTTGGGGTGGGGTTGGGTGGCGTCTGTCGAATGGCCATTGAAAAAGCCACCCCCACCCTTTACGTTTCTTGGTTCTCTCTCCATCTCATCTCTGTGTGTTCTGTGTGTGTATCTTTTGGGTAACTCATTAATATATAAATACATATAATATAAATACCCACACGATTAAATTCGGTGGGATAGTTAGATCTTGTGCACCTCCTCCCTCCAATGAAAAGATTATTGCTATCACAATCAATACCAGAAAATATTATTATTATTATTGGTATATGACAATGCCCATCGTCGGCATGTTATTTTTCTTGATTTTCAATTTTCTGGTTCTACAATTGTAAACAGGGGGTCGATTCAGAGAAAGGAGAGTTGGGTTATTTAAGGATTTGAATTGAGTGGGGAATGAATGTTCATCGATCGAATTGAATTAAATTAAGTTAAATTAAATAAAATAAAATGGCGTCATACCAACTAATCAAAGAAGGGGGATTGGATTTGAAGGGAAACAACAACTGTACAGTGAGGATTGATGATGATGATGATGTTGAGTCTGCTTTCCAGAGGATTAATAATCAATCTTCTTCTTCGTCTTCGTCTTCTCCTTCACATAGATTGAGGCCTAAAGCTTGTACTCAGCCATCTTCTCGCCTTGTCTCTCTTGATGTTTTTCGTGGCCTTACTGTTGTGGTAACTTTTCTTATTCATATTTTTTATTATTATTATTTTTATTATTATTATTATCTCTTATTTTGTTGTGTTTGAATAAATTTAAATCTAAAGAAACCCATGTGCCACTCATTTTGTTTCTCGATGAATATTGAGGTTTCGATTTTTTATTTTTTTATTTTTCTTTTGCATTTTGTTAAAAAAAACAAAAAGAAAAAAAAATATCTAAGGGCAGTGAAGAATGAAGGTATGGAAAAAATAGAGATTTGTGGCTACTAAGAAAATTAGACTAGAACAGGATTATTATGTAAAGGAAACTGATATTTGAATTGTACATTTGAATATGTATATTAATAATAAATTATGTGCATTGAATATGATTGTGTTATTGCAGTTAATGATAATTGTTGATGATGCTGGTGGGATAATACCAAGTATAAATCACTCACCATGGAATGGTTTGACACTGGCTGATTTCGTCATGCCTTTTTTCCTCTTCATGGTCGGTGTTTCACTTGGACTTGTTTATAAGGTACTTGTTCTCTCACTACACTTTGTATATATGGGAAGCACTTTTACATTATAATTTATTAACTTTTTTTATTTATGTGTTAACCATTTCCTAATAACTCTGCTTTTTTTTTTTTGTTTTTATTTTTTGTAGAATATGCCTTGTAGAACCACAGCATCGAGAAAAGCCATATTCCGGACAGCAAAATTTCTAATACTAGGGGTTTTTCTCCAAGGTGCTCTTCTACATCTTATCCATTATTACTTTCGGGAAATATTATTTGCATCATTTATGTATTTGTTCACTGGACTCATTGCAATATATTTTTGTTTAATTTTTGTTATATAATTCAGGTGGCTATTTTCATGGTATTAATAATTTAACGTACGGAGTCGACATGGGACAGATAAGGTGGATGGGCATATTGCAGGTGTGTTGTTGTTGATATGTATGTTAGCATCATTGTGTGAATAATTTGTTTTATCATATTAATTGTTCACAAGTATTTTTTGCTTACTTTTTTTGGTGTCTCATTTAGAGGATTGCAATAGCATATTTGGTGGGAGCAATGTGTGAGATTTGGCTCAGAAACGACGATAAAGTTGGTTCTGGATTATCATTACTCAAGAAGTATCAATGGCACTGGTAAAATTCCTATATAAATATATATATATATATATATATATATATATATATAGATTCTTGTGAAAATGACCAAATGGATTATGGAGATAGAAAATGAAATCTATGTTTAGCTAAGGGTGCTGATAGAGTAAACGAGGGTGTATTTTCTTTGTTTGCGGAAACAGTGCAGTTTCTACAGTTTAATTGTTTCAATTAAAGATTCTTGTGTCTAAATTTATGCAGGGTGATGGTGTTCATGCTTACCACTGTATATCTTGTGTTGTTATATGGTTTATATGTTCCAGATTGGTCGTATCAGGTTCCACTCAGTGCATCTTTTGAGGTTAAAGTAAGTTGTTATATTTCATTATTTAAACAAAAAAAAAACATTTGGGACTAGAAAGATTAATTTATGGCATTTTTTTGACATTTGCTGCAGAAGGTGAAATGTGGTGTGCGAGGTAACACTGGGCCTGCATGTAATGCTGCTGGAATGATTGATCGCATGATTTTGGGCGTTCAACACTTATATAGGAAGCCAATATATGCTCGAACACAAGTAATTCTTTTACGAAGTGGAAAGTTATATCGTCTTCACTTGTTGTATGGCTTTCTTTAAAATTAAAAAAAAAAAAATCTGAGACGCAACTTTTCTATGACAGCAATGCAGTACAAACTCACCAGATTACGGCCCACTTCCTCCTAATGCTCCATCATGGTGTCAAGCCCCCTTTGACCCGGAAGGACTTTTAAGGTTTCTTTGCCTCTTTTGTACTTTTATTTCACTACACTATCATTTTCAACCTTCACATCTTGCCTTCAGTTTTTAACCGTTAACCTTGTTTTGCAATTTTTCTAGTACAGTGATGGCACTTGCTACCTGCTTGATAGGTGTACAATATGGCCATGTCATTGTTCACTTTAAGGTACAAACAAGTTTTTGTTTTTCCTTTTTTTTTTTTTTGGGTGTTTGAGAAAGCAGCTACTTTCTCTCTCTCATGATCTGATATTTCTACCTTAATCTCATCAGGATCATAAGTATAGACTCTTGCAATGGCTAGTACCATCATTGGGCTTTATAATCCTGGGCGTGCTATGCAATATTTTTGGTAAGTTTTTTTTTTTTTTTTTTTTTTTTCATTTCATTGTTTTTAAATTTACGCACGTGGAAATATTAATATACGTATGGGATTGACTGACGGGATAATATGTGATTGATGTAGGGATGCATATAAACAAGGCTTTATACTCTTTCAGCTATATGTGTGTTACTACTGGTGTTGCAGGGATTCTACTTGCTTCAATTTATCTAGTGGTAATTAAGTTAAACCTCCATAAAATCTCCAGCTGTGAATATACTCGGAAAAAGTAACTTTATTTTGATGTTGTTGGATGTGCAGGTGGATGTGTATGGATACAGACGGTGTACGATGGTTTTAGAATGGATGGGAATGAACGCATTGGTGATATATGTTCTTGTAGCCTGCAATATTTTACCTCTCATTCTACAAGGATTTTACTGGAACCATCCTGGTAACAATATCGTAAGTTTTTCGTTTTCATCTCTTGGATTTTTTTATTTTTTTATCACGTTAATAATAATATTCACCCCATCCCATGTCTTTTTTTTTCTTGACAAATATGACATGTTTTTTTGCAGCTAAGTTTGATTGGAATTGGAAAACAGACACACTAATGAGGCTGTTGGGGTGATACACTAATAATAATATTCCATTTATTGGTTGAGGGCTGCAATACTTTTTGACACAATTCTTGAATAAATCTGTTATTGGCACGTATTAGACTTTTAGTATGACTTGTTACCTTATTGAGAAACAGTTACAAATCATTTAATCAAGAAAAAAATGCTGTTAAAATCTCTTCCACTTTTACTCGAGGAAGACATTTCAAGCTTACAGAGTTCGAAACTGGAAAAATAAATATTGATTTTAGATTTTATTTGGTTTACTTAGAATTATCCTTAGCATGAATGAATGTTTTAAATTCTCCAACAATGAGCATAAATCTACATGGGTCGGAAACTCTTAACCGATGGCAACTATATTTTTTTTTCTGAACCGAGCTATTGTATATACTAGGGATGTTTACAAATAAGCCCATCAATGGGTACTTATTTATAGAAAGATCCAAACAAAAATTTCTTTTACAAATAAGTCCACACATGGTTCAAATTTTTGTAAAAGTCTAAAATAGCCCCTAATTTAATATATTCCAATTTCATAATTAATTTAATTTAACCTCAATTTGACCCCAAATTTCACAAATTATTCAATTTTGACCCAAAACTTTTTTTTTTCAATTTTTTTTTTGCCGCCAGAATCCGGCGTTGACTTTTCGCTTTTTTTTTTTCGGCGGTTTCCTGCGTTGACTTTTTCGAATTTTTTTTTCCTTGTAACATTTTTTTTTCGCTTAGACAGTAATATTAACTATAATACTGTTAAACACAGTAAAATTAACTATACTATAGTTTAGAACAGTAATATTGTTATATTAATCTCTAGCATAGTAATATTAACACACCAAAACAAAACTCATTATTATTGTGTAATAGAGTAATATTACTATGTTGACCGTTCAACAAATGCAAACATAATAAAAAGCCAAAAGATTAATATAACTGTGAGTGACAGTAATATTACTATAACAACAGTAATATTACCTTCAACCACAGTAATATTACAATAATAGACAGTAATATTATTACGTTATTCCGTGAATAACTCAAACAAACAAACAAAAAAATCCAAACAAAATAATAATATTGATGTGGTTGACAACAATATTACTATCACAACAGTAATACTACCGTTAACCGCAGTAATATTATTGTGTTTACAGTAATATATTACAATAATTGATTGTAATATTATTACGTTACTCCGTGAATAACTCAAACAAAACAAAAAACCCAAAAAATAATAATATTGATGTTGTTGACAGTAATATTATTGTGTTTACAGTTATTTTACCGTCAACGACAGTAATATAATTACGTTGACTTGTCAACAAATCAAACAAAATAAAAATAAATAACAAAAAATAAAAAAATAATAATATTACGTTAATTTACTGTCAACGGCAGAAAAATTACATAAATGTACTGTCAACGACAGTACAATTACGTTAATTAACTGTCATTGACAGTATAATTACGTTAATTTACTGTTAGTGACAGCACAATTACGGTCAACGTTTAGCGGCGGACGTAAAAAAAAAAAAAAAAACCTAAAAAAAACACTAAAAAAAGTTAACGCCGGAATCCAGCGGCGGATAAAAACAGACCATAAAAAAAAAAAGTTAGGTCAACGCTGGAAACCGACGAAAAAATCCGAAAGGGAAAAAAAAAATCAAAAAGTCAATTTCTCGGAATCGGGCAGCAAAAATGTTTTTTTGAAAAAAAAAGTTAAAAAAAAATTTGGATTTTTGTGAACAAAATTGATTAAATTGAGGTTACAATTAAGAATTGGGTATAAATTGTTGGGGGTAATATTGTCATATACATAAATGTTTCCTTTATTTATAATATATATTAAAGGGATGAACTTATTGGTGAAATAGATATAGTCCCTAAACCTTGAATAATAAAGATGTTTGGTTGGAGACTTGTGCACAAAAATCCCTTGTATAAATCATACCTAGTATGTAAGAGTAGACCACATGTCGGGTTCGGGTCCGACTTTTAGGGGACCCGAAACTGACCCGTGGGGAAGCGGGTCCACCCGGGTCCGGGTTCAAACCGGATTTTTTTTCATATAATTACACGAAAGAATTTTTTTTTCCAAAGGATTACAAGAAAGAAAAAAAAAAGTAAATTGAATTTAAACGCTAAACAATTTTAGAAAATCGATATGATTAGGACCATTGGTGAAGATTGGATTGGAGGTATTTATAAGAAAAATAATAATTGAGAGATTTTTCAAAATTCAAAATTCAAAGTTCAAACTTCAAAAAAATTCAAAATTCAATATTTCCTTTAACTTACACGGGTTGAACCGTAATCCTTCATATTTTTTAAAATTAAATACATCTGCATTTATTATTAGTGGAGATTTTTAATATTAATAATAGTGAATATGACAATTAATAATTTATTAAAACATTAGTTATACATATATTATAATCATTTTACAGTTTTATTTATATTTATATTTATATGTTTATAGTTAAAAATATTACAAGTTGCTTTGTCTGAATGGTTACTACTCTACTAAACTAATCGGGTGACTTGAGTTCCACCCCTAAACCAAACAATTTTTGTGATATTTACACATTAAATTCGGCTGGATGGGTCCTAGGGTCCTCGGGTCGACCCGCCGATAGACCCGTCGGGTCTGGGGTCCACAAAAACAAGACCCGAAATCGATCCATGCATACTTGGGTTTGGGTTTGGGTCCGGGTCCACTACAGTTGGGTCCGAGGTGGGACCAGATTTCTTTAACAGGGGGAGAGTGTAGCACCCCTTAAATTTTATTATGTGTATGTGTGTATATTATTGAAGTTTAATTACTAGAAAATAATTTAGTAAAATTATGTGACTTAGATGTTATTGATATATAAAGTTGGGGAATAAGAATAAATAAGGTAATTTACAAGGGCTGATATAGTATTAAGGAATAGTTAAGGCAGATAATGATTCTATATATTTAGACTTGACGTTTAAGAGGATAATTATGAGATTAAGTAAAATTTTAAGGAGAAGACACGTATTAGAATTGACGAGTCATCTTCTCCCTTATTATGTTGAGAAAGTCGTCATATATTTGTTAGCTTTCATTTGGTATATTATGTGAGCAATTTGGATAGACGTGGAATTTGTTACGAATTTTTGAATAAACTGAGGCAGCACATACTTTTTATTATTATGTTGAGAAAGTCGTCATATATGAACAAATTTTATTGGTCTTCGTCCTGGTAACATAAACGTGATGGTTATGTGGTAAGTTTTGATGTTAGTTACGGGGTTAGAATAATTTAGAATTGGTAAGTAAATTATTCGGCCTTAAGAACATATAAAGCTAGGAAAAACGTAGAGTGTATATTATTTTATTTTAATAAATAATTTGGTGTCTTTAGTTTAAATATTGCATAGGTTTTGAGATCGAGGAACCGTGATCGACAAGTACTCTTGATTGGACCAAGGTGAGGGTTCTCTTGCTTGAACTTTTCTGGGAATATGATAAACTCGGGTAATTGTATCGCTCGAGTACTTGAATTTTGCTCCCTTTCATTGAATTGATCTACTCGTTATCATTTGATTATCGTTATTTGAAATTGATTGGATGATGTTGAGCTTGAGATTATTTGAGAAATGCTATCGTATCGAGTGTTCAACTCTTTGATTTCCATTTCCTTCGAATAGTACTTATTGAGTGATCGGTATGAAATTCTTTGAAGCCGATCGTTTCCCTTCAAGTTTTATTCAATTATCTAAACTTCACATCTTGAAACATCGAGCCCTATTTGAAGCCTTTCACTTGATCCCATTTCTTCGAATTTCTATTATCCTTGAAATCCTAATATATATAATCAAATCATATGGTCTTCTTATATGATCGATAAAGTCCTTTTGGGACGCCTCAAGGACAATGGATATTGATGGGCCCGGGGCTGTTTGGAGGTGACCGCTGGGCGGTAGCGGGCCGACGGTGGGTAGTCTCTCCAACAGTATCCACATAGGTTTAGACCCGTACACAACTGGAGGTTAGTTGGGTTTCGGGCTAAACCGGCATGCGCCCGGGCATGCCACATTGCATTACAGGGTCATTCCCTGATCGGTGAATAAGGTAGTAAACGGCTACGGGAGTCACAAGGTAGGTGTATTCTTATCTCTATTGATCGGAAAATCGATTGAACATTCTTACTATTATTCTTGAATTTCTGATTGAAGCAAAACCTTTAAACGCTTCTATTTTCCGATATCACCAATTGGTTCGATCATTGAACTTTCTCTCAGATCATGTCGTCACTCGTTATTCTTATATTTCACCTCACTAAGTCTTCTATGACTTATCCCTCTACTTTATTCTGTCATATTCTCAGACACAAGCGCGGCTTGAATGAATCAGAGGAATTCCCATCCGAGTAACTACCTTGTTTATATTTGTAAAATAGTGGTTCGATTAAGTTAAGAATAATCGCTGTCTTGTATTATAAATATCAGCGTTTGAACTTATTTATGTTATAGTATTGTAATCTCATAAGCTAGAAGTTGTTGTTAAATGTTCGGAACCTTTGTACTTTACCTTGCTAGACGTGAGGTTGTTAATAAATAAATCGTACGTATTTTTGTGAACTATAGTTTGATTAGTATTATTCAAGAAAAAAAAAATAGACCAGGTAATCTCATAAGAGTAAGAGTAATTTGACAAACGCTTCATAGAAGGCGTGCGTCACAGTCCACTACCCACTACGTGACCCCTTATGGTAGAACCCCATGATCTCTACACCATTACAAACTGTATACTATTAAACTTGATGGAGAACTCTAGTCCAAAGCATAGAATTTTTCATTTGTCCTCTTCTTGTTTACATAAAAAAGTTTCCATAAATTTATTTTCGTCCTCTTCTTTCTCACCAAGAATTTTCAAGATATACAATTGCTTTCCGCAGATAACACTATAAATATTTAGTTAAATTATTTTTGCATCACATGTTGTTAAATTTTACATCACATAATAGTTGCTAACCATGTTCTTTTTATTTATTTATTTATTTATTTATTTTTGATACAAACGAGGCATAATTGAAGACAATGACCCCATATGTCAACTATATGCCTTCGTATAATGTTCATCTCTTTGATTATTGGGTTGACCATGGTATTTTTCGTTTTCATAAACCTATTATGCCATTTATTTTTTATTTTGTACTCATTACATTTTGTGTCTTCAGGAGTCACCATCAGTTAACGTTGGACGCACAACAATTGTTGTGACATTAGTCATATTCTTTGGCAAATAGGTGTTTCAACGCCTTTGTGGGAAACCTCGCGTTGAATCTGATTTCACTACAGCACAATCCAATAATGTATTTGTGAAAGAAGAATTTGAATCAAATTCATCACGTAAGGAAATCTCACCAAAAAAAGTTCTTTTTAAGCTGCATATATTGTGTGACCAGTGTCTGAACCGTGTGATAACGTCCGACTTGGTGTGTTGCACCGCATGCATTTTAATTTCACCACAATGGTGGTGGATAAATACAAACTTGATTTTGATAATCCTAGTTAGGGTTTGGGTCAGTAGAATATGCGCAATTAGATTTACCCTTTTTTTTATAAATTGTTTGCTGATTGAAGCAAATATGTTGTCATACATTTCAAGTGTGTTTTTTTATTATAATATTCGATCACTGATGTCAAAATTTTGATTAATGAATTTTAATGTTTTCTTATTGTAATATTTGATCACCGATGTAAAAAAAAGTTTAATTAATGCAATTGTAATGTTTTAAAACGAGGGTCCATTTGATATGCATCCCTCAAATGGAAAATATATATGGATAGGTCCACCCCTAAAATTTTTCCTTTGAGATAACCCCTTGGAGAGACTAAAGTACTATTGTGCCCTTATGTGCAATTTTCGCCCAACTGCATTAAGCATTTTCACCAACTGCATTTATCATTTTGGACCTGCATTTAGTATTTTTACACTGCATATATCATATTTTTAATTTAATAATTTTTTATTCCTGTATATATATTGTACTATTTTTTATTATTATCGTATTTTTTATAAATTGTTTTTTTAATTTTTTAATTTTTAATTTTTTTTATTAATTCAAAATTTGGAAAAATTACTGTACTGAACGTATACTTTACATGACTACAATGTCAATACTCAATAGTCATGTATAGTTATATATAGTCGTGTACTGTTTTTTTACCCTAAAATTCATCTACACCAACAAAATTCACAATTTGGATATTGATATTATAAATTAATTAACAAATAAAAAATGAAAAAACACAATCACATGCATATGTTCTTCAAACATGAACAAGCATTACTGTACGTTAAAAAACATATAGCATACATATAACTATATGTTACTATATATGACTATAGTTATCTACAATTATCTATAGTTATATATAGTGACATAAAGTCTAGACTACTATAGCATGGATCCAACTTTACAAGGCACTTCACCGCATCTTATTCTCAGCGTGTCATAAAATAATAATAAAAGCAAAACCTGCGACAAAAAAATACGAGTTAAAGAGCAAAATGGAACATGCGAGTTAGATTACATGAAAAATACAAAAAACCATGATTTTTTTTTTTGTGATAAATTTATTGTACTAAAATCGACTACAAATGACTATAGTGTACTACAAGTATTATAGTCATGTATAGTTATATGTAGTCATGATTATACATGACTACATATGACTGACTATATATGACTGTATATGACTAAATCACTACCAAAAATATAGGCTTTTGTGACGGAGATTTTTGTCACTGAATTGAGGAAAATCTGTGACAAACAGGCTTTGGTGACGAAGGTGTGACGGAATTCGTCCGTGAGAAAACGCCTCGTCACTAATTAAAATAGTGACGGTTTTTTTCAATCCGTCACACTTTGGTGACGGAACATTTTGTCACAATTATTTTATCGAACTCCCCTAAATTTAGTGACGGATTCCGTCATAAACAATTTTTGCATGTCATTAATCTGTCACAAGGTTCCGTCATTCATCTGTCATATGTATCGTCACAAAAAGTCCGTCACATGCATCCGTAACAAATGTTCCGTCAAATTTCAGTCACAAGCAATCCGTCGCATTGGTTGTCACATATATCCGTCACATTTCTCATCACAATAGCACCATAATTTTTTTTGTTCTCTTTATTTACTACAATATTTTTTTTTGACAAAATCAACAAAAATTCATAAAGCATAAATATATTAAAACAAAATCATACATTTTCCAATATCTCATAACTTCATTTGGCTAATAGTATCTAGTGCTAAGAATCTGTTAAAATTACAAAACATAAATATCTTATTTATAGAAACCACAATCTTTTCGAAAGCTTATTCCTCCTCCCTTTCGAGTCACTGCCATTTCTTTTGCCCTCAATTTTCAGGTCACATTCCTAACACCATTCTTCTGTATCGTCCTTTAATATCGACAATCTATGGCCTTAGTATCTATCTTCCTCTTCATGAAAAACGAGAAGGTTTTTTTCTTGAAAGAATTTCATCTTTCAACTGTTTAAAGCAAAAGGCAAGGAATAATTAGAACAAGCTAAAAAATATGTAATATCTCTTTAGAATGTGTGCTACTTTTTTTTTTTTTTTTTTTTAAATCGAATGTCTGCTACTTTTAAATGCAGTACAAAAAAGGCAAAAAAAAAGCTATATTCACCTGTTCTAGAGAAGTTTTAGGCAAATTAGATCTCTTATGATCTAAAAGGGCTGAAGATCCCACGTCGACATTTTTGGTCCAGTAGATTTCAGACGTGACGAAGATGTCTGCCAATAATTACATACAAGTTATCAGTATCAGCACTTCCACTTTAGTATATTGACTTGCTTAATAACGTGAATTACCTCACTCAATATCCGTCGAAGGGCATCTTCGCAACAGACTGAAGGATCTAATCCAAAATTCTCAAGGAAAACATTTCTCTTGCATTCTACCAAGATGGCCGGTTATTTCTGGCTCCATTTCAAGCAAACCTATCACAATAAATGCAAAATTCTAACTTCTCTCAACAACAAAAACCAAAGCCATTAAAAATATTTAAATTAGAAATACAAGGCAGTACCAATAAAGCCAAATACATCTAATCTCCATGAAAAGGTTGACAATACACGATTTAAGTGTGACACCCTAAAATTTATAGCCTAATTATATCAATATCTGTAGAAACCAATATCTATCAGTATTAAACAAACGACTTTTTTTTGTATCCATAATAAAGCCACCAATATCTATCAGAGCTGTCCTGCAAAGGTGAGTTATGGGTCAAATTATGGAATATGAAGAGCAAGGAAAATGGGGGAATAGGGAACAGGGAATACGGAATAGGGAAGAGGATGCGTAATTCCTCTTGCGCAAATTCAGGTCCTGCTCTTGTAGCACTGTGGAGAACAAAGTTCAATTAGAATACTGAAAGATAGATACAAAGCGATAAATAGTTTAAGAACATCATCACCAACAAGCCTGTCAAGTGTCAATACAAAGGGCATATAAGCGGGTGAAAAAGAAAATTCTGAAAAAGACGATCATACATATTGTTAATTAACATATAGCCAAGATTCAAGTTAGCATCTTCATCCGAAACCAAAGCCACACAAACTCTCACAAGAAACCAACGTCAGAATCTCCTCCTTGGACTCCTCGAACGATGGCCACGAGGTGATCTGCATAAATAACATGAGATTGAGAAAATTAAAAAGAAAAAAATATAGAAAATATAGTTTGCCTCCGTGTTTATCCTCTAATCAATTAGAAGTTGTAGCAACAGTGCTGCTACTTCGAACACGCTTTCCAGTAAGACGACATTTAATACAAGGAGGGATGTTTTGCTCGAACAAAGATGGCCTCGGGATTTCATAAAGCTAAAGAATTTAATATATAATTCATCGTGCACAAAGATTTTTGAAGGTTAATTCTTTATCAATTCTTAATCTACAACATCGATATGACATGTTAAATTTTAAGAACCACTTATAGTCTTTCGGGATACCGCCATGAAATTTCAGTGACAATATTTTTAACCAAAAATATCAAGATTTCTATTTTTCTAGTTAACGCTAAGCCAAATCATGGTATTTCAGAGTTATGCACTCTATATATTTCACAGATACCAATATGATAATTTGGTTAGTACTGTTATTCCGATTCCTATGTTCTGCTGTTAATAAGAACCTGAATTTGAGTTGGCAATTGAAGAAATATGAATATTGTTATTTAAAACACAGACGAGAAAGCAGAACCCATACCTCCTCCTCATGTTCCTCCTTCTGAATGGACCTTTGTTGACTGCCCAATTAACGTTTATGATGTGAGTGAGCATATAAGTTCCATCAATTTCACTTATAGCTCTATGTGACTCATCAAACTTCTCGTATTCAATTAAGGCATATCCCTAGAAATCACAATACAAACAGCACTTAGCAGATACACATCTCCCAAAAAAAAACACCCCAATTTCTTTACCTTGACGAAACCCAACCCGTGCGGCGGTCAAGGAAAACGGGGGAATAGGGAAGAGGGCGCCTAATTCCTCCGGCGCGATTACCGGTCCTGTTCTTGTAGCATTGTGGAGAACACCACGTGCCTGCCGCCGGCCGTCAAAGCCTTGTCCACAAATCGTTGAAGAAGGCGAATTAATCCACCAGACTGAAGCGAGATGATAAGAAAAGGAATTTGTCGAAAGTTTTTATTTGGGGTTTTCTTCAGAGGAGGTGACGCAGACAACTAAAAAAAAGAGAGAGAAAAAAATTTGCACTGTAAAATTGGATAAATACACCCAAACGGCACCGTTTTACATGCGAAGTTGCTGAAAAAAAAAAGAAAAAAAATGTGGTGAGTAATTTGTTAAGTCAATTATTATCAATAATTAATTATATTAATCAACTTTTCGAAAATAAAAAGAATATATATAAATTAAAAAAAGGTCATACTAGTTTGTTTTGTAAGTTAAGTTTATGTTCATGATAATTAATTATATATTTGAGAAATAACTGTAAATCAAGAATCAAAATAATATTTGAGAATATAATTTTTTTTATTAAACATATAAGTGAATTAATTAATTAAGAATAAAATACATTTGTTATCATAAAAAAATAGTAAATGTTCAAAAATTCAATCTCCTATTTTGTAGAACTAAAAAATTAATAAAATACAAATAAATTGAATTTATATTTTCAATTTATTCATTTGTGGTGTATTAAAGTAAATTTACTAAAATTGACATAGTAATTAACACAACAATTAGCATATAGGGACAATGGGACATATTAATGACAAAACATAAAATGTGACGGAATAGTGTCTGAAATGTATGTGACGATTTCTTACCGGATAAACATAGTGACGGACTAACGACAAAACTTAATCGGTGACGGATTTCTGACCGAAATGTATGTGACGGATTTGTGACAGGCAGGATATTGTAACGGGTTTGTGACCGACATTAATCAAATTGTTACATTCTTAGAAAGTTTGTGACCAATTTGTGACTGAATCAATTTTCGTCACAACATTTGTGACCGAAAAGTGACTGGGAGTCGACTGTCACAAAATCCGTCACTGATTCGTCACATACTGGTCATTAAAAAATTCTAAATTTCAGTAGTACATTCAGTCACATATTCGTCACTCATTCGGTCACTACTGGTGACGGATTTAGGCTGTCACAAAATATCCGTCACAAAAGCCCAGTTTTTTGGTAGTGAATATAACGGTAACCTGACTCAAATCACACATGTAAATAACCACTACTGGTTAAATTTCTACTACAGACAAACAAATCTCTCACACTTGAGGCATTTCGAATCATTTTCAAATAAATACTAAAAATAAATTGCATATGATTTATAATAAAAATGAAAAAGATAAGAATCAAACAAAATAAAAAATTAAATTAATTCAAAAAAAATATTTTAATATTAATTTTTCACAGATCTCACAGTTGAGGCATTTTGAATCATCTTCAAATAAATACAAAAAACAAATTACATATGATTTATAATAAAAATTAAAAAGATAACAATAAAACAAAATCAAAAATCAAATTAATCAAAAAAAAAAAAAAAATTCAATATTAATTGTTCACAGATCTTAAAAAACATAGTAGATCTGGTTTTTTATTTTTATAAGAAATAGTAGATCTGGTTTGAGCCCTCCCCCAACCAAAAAAAAGAGACAAAACTAAAACTATAACGTAGAAATCATTTCAAATGGAAGTAGATGTATTAATACTGAGTTCAAAACGGTGGGAGGAGCAACGACGACCGACGCAAGGCGGTTGCGGAACAGCGGCGCACGACGGTGTTGGAGCAGCGGAATACGGTGTCGGAGCAGCGGTGGAAAATAGTGGTAATCGGCGCAAGGTGGTGGGAGAAGTAGATCTGACAGCGGAGGATTTGTAAGAGGGAGAGTTAGAGAGAGATGAAGAGAGAGGAGAAAATTAGAGAGAGAAAGTTAGAGAGATGAAGAGAGGATAAAGTTAGACAGAAAGATGGAGAGAGGGGAAAATTGTCACGTGAGTTTGAGAGAAAGAGAGAGTTAGGGAGAACGGCTGTGAGTGGAAAAAAGAACGGTGGGCTAGGGTTTTGTGTATTGAATTAAAACTAAAAGGGTAAAATAGATACTTCAAGTTGTCAAGGAGGTCTCCCTAATTAAGATCAAAATTTGAGTTTTTGACTATGGAGAAAAAAATTATTCGGCCTCCTCATATATATTTTCAAAACTAAGGGGTTATCACTCATCTCTATTATATATAAAACTAAGATACACAATCAAAGTTTTCTAATTGAAGAGATTGAGTCCACATTGTTTCATTAATTTCAAAAAAATCCCAACTTCCATAAACAACCACCTAATTGTCAATTTATTAGAACAAAAAACATTGTTACCTAATTTGAATTGCATACATGGCAATTTTGTGCATTTTAATTGGTTGATTTTTACCATGTGGCAAACTATCCTTATATACAAAAAATTAATAAAATCCAGATTTCATAGGTGGACAAATTATGTCCTTTCATTGGTTAATTGTTTTTCACCTTTAATTTTAATTGCACACATGGCTAATTCGTGCATTTCTATTGGTGGATTACATATTTATTTAATTAATCACACAGATTTATATACATATTTATTTTTTTACATTTAAATTTTTTTATAATTTGGTCTATTATTTTTTTTATAAAATCTTTAATTTTACAACATAAAAATATTTTTCAACGTATTATAAATGTACGAAAGGAAAAAGTTGTAAATACAATTGTAATATAATAATTTCTTAAATAGACATTTAATTAATTTGAATATATTATGCATTTTAAAAATTTTCCAACTTAATATATATATATATATATATATATGTATTAATGTTACACAAATTAATAATAGTGAAAAACCAATTTTAATATAAAAATTATTTAAATATGCATATTATTAATATAAAATTTCATAATCCAGAATAATAATTAAACTACATTCATCCCACTTATCCGAATTTTATTTTTTATACATTTAGAATTTTTAATATTTCCTTTTGAAACGTTGCTAATATATTCTCGAGATTAACATAATTGATTGTGATTGTTTAATTACTAAAATCATTTGTTTTAATTGGACCAAGCGGATTTTCCTACTCATAATGAAAGAAAATATTTTTAATAATATTTCAATCAATACCATATATACAAAGATTTGTTGTGTATTTGTTATATATATGTAAATCCGGAGAGTATTTTTAGTAATATTCCAAATTCCAATTAATATCATATACCATTTCTAAGGCGTGCTATTTTAGTATATAGTTACAATCCGGATTGTTTGACTTATTATATCCTTTTATTTTGCAAGTGGATATAGTATTTATAGTTTGCATTAATTTTGATTACATTTGTATCAATGTATTTGATTTCTCCTAAATATAAGCAAACATATAATGGAACCATAACATAATATCCATTTACTATTGTAATTTATTTTCTTCATTTTTATATGTTGATTATTCAATTTTTGTGTTTATCCAAATCAAATCAAACTAACCCTAAATTAATCAATTATTTCCTTCATTAATGCATTTAATATTTCATTCCTTAACAATATGTTATCACCTTTTTATTTAAAATAAAAATAAGTATAAATACCCCTTTGAAACCCATTCGAGCACATTCATACTCTAACAACAACTATTAGAATCACACCAAAAATTTGTCTGGCTCATGTGATATATATATTTTTTTTCTATAGTTATATAGATTATATAGTACTATTATGTATAATATATAACTTAGTTTGTCCAATGCATTGTATTTGTTGTATATCGTTGTTGTTAGTGTTTTCGATATATTTGATACTAATTACAATTTAATTTTTGTTTCTTATTTTTTTTATTTTTTTATTTTATAGATACATGGCTAACATCATGTGTGTAATATGCGGCAACATCAATGAAAGTGAAGAAAGATTATTTACGTTGAGGGAGAACTGGACGTGTTAAGGTTACTCTTGATAACTCTAATTTGAGATTTGAGAAAATTCTTGAATCTAATGATATAGGTTGAATGATAAAAACACATTATTTCTATTGATTGTTTGTATTATATTAATTTAAAATGTTATGTTATGTTTTGTTATTTAACTTTTATTTATATTGTAGCATATAGATAAAGAATTTGTCCATGCGGATGACTAATTTTGAAACGAAAAAAGAAAAAATAAAATTGGAGGATGACTAATTTTGAAACGAAAAAAGAAAAAAATAGAATTGGAGTATATAGGTCGAAATCCCTACAATGTGGTTATTTGTTCAAGGAAGAATAATTGGAGTTTGAAGACGGTGGTCAATGAAGAATGGAGAGATTTTTTCGAATTAAATATGATGTGTTGCGGAAACACATATTCTTTTGTTTTCACCCCTACAAAGTGTTATAATTCATGTATTTGGTGCTATATATAAAATATTTAATTATTTGTTTTAATATAGTTCGATAAATTTTATACGTTTTGTCAATCTTCATTCCATTCATGTATTTGGTACTTTATATAAAGATTGTGTTTTTTGTCTCAATGTAGTTAAATAAATGTTAGTATGTTTTGTCATTATTCCTTTCATTCGCTTATTCGGTTCTATATATGAAAGATTGTGATTGTAATTTTGTGTTAATATAGTTACATAAATTTTATACGTTTTTATCAATTCATTATTGTTCGTATTTTTTATTAACTTTGAAATAATTTCTTGAAATGTATCCATTATTTCTTCATAATTTATTTGTTTAAATTTTCTAATCTATATCTATATCTATATTATATATAAAGCTAAGATACAGAATCAAATTTTCCCACTTGAGGAGATTGAGTCCACATTGTTTAAATAATTTCAAAAAAAAAAAAAATACACTTACCATAATCACCTATATTATTAATTAATTGATTTCACATTATTAGTTTTCAAATTTTATCTCTCATACATGTCAAAATAGTGTCTTTTTATTGGTTAATGAGTTTCCTTTTTTAATCAATTGTTTGATAATAAATATGTAAATGCACATAATTTTTTTTGGTTAATGAGATTTTATACACAATATTTATATTAATTCCAAAACAACCCCACTTACAAGAATCATCCATATTATTAATGAAATAATTTCATATTATTGGTTTTGGAATTTTATCTCTCCTACATGTCAAAATAGTGTATTTTTTATTGGTTAATTAGTTTCCTTTTTACAAACAATATTTTAATTAAAAAAACGTAGGATTTATATGCAATATTTATAATTTCCCAATTGAAGAAATTTTATGTACAATATTTATATTAATTGCAAAAAAAACCCCACTTACAATAATCTTATT